TCTAGTTACCTGATGAGGCAACAAGACATATTTATTGTCCACCAAGACAGTTTCTACAGCATCATTGAAGTTGGGGTATCGGACCCGAGGACAGTCAAGACCTGGGAACAAGTCAGCAATGAGACCCAGGAACAGCGGTACATCTTCAAACACGAACTTCGGAAGATTCATATCACGTAGAGCACGCATTAGAACAACATCCTGGAAACAGAACGAAATAAAAATCAAATACATTAAAAGTGTGTCGATGGCAGTGCCCCCAAGATGGGGGAGGGAGGGGGGGGGGCAAACCTCTCGACGGCCTTAGTTGGTGACACTAACAAAGTGGTTAATGCGCCTCTGCAGACCACGGTTTGGTTCCTGTAACAAGCAGCTGTCTGATTATAGTTACACCTCAGTCCCATGTGAGAATAGTGCTTTCAGTTTGACTCCAAGTTTCCTCCTGTAGTATCACTAAGTCAAAAAGGAATGGCTCTTACTTAATTAATAAAGTTAGTTTAGTTTAAGCTTCCTCCTGTAGTAACACTGGATCATTAAGAGATGACTCTTACTGAACCTCTAGGGAGAACAGTTCTGTTTAGAACTGATAAAGCTATCCAGTATAAATAACGTTAGTTTAACACTGGACCAATATCAGGGTGTTCCTGACTGGACCTCCAGGGAGAACAGTTAAGATTAGTTAGTTTTAGATTAGTTTACCTCATGTAAGTCAGGTGAGCCTCGTTTCAGTTCACCCGCCATGACCAGTACTGATTTCAGAGCACGTAAACCAAAGTCATAATGCGATTGTTTTGATAACTGACCAGCAGCAAGCTTGTAAAGCACAGTCATTTTCTTTGCTAGAACCTGTCATAGAGAATTTGAAATAGTTTCGTCATATGAGAGGGCAAGTCATAGTTGGACTGGCAGTTTGAGCAGAAAGTGGTGCATTTTTCCGCGCGTAATACTAAAATACTCTAAATTTGCTAATTTCACAGGGCTATATTTTCCGTATTTTACAACATTTCGCAACCAAACTTTGCAATTGTACTAATTTTAGGATGCTCTTTTGAGCTATAATGATAGATTTCATCTTTCTTGTCTGGACCAGAAATTAGTCGATAACTGGATTCATCCATTTACACTCTCGTAATGTTCTACCAAATTCAATATTTGCACATGCCATAAGATTTGTTGAAAGAAAAACACAAACCTTTGCGAGTAGGAATCCTTCAGAGAACAACATGATCTCACAGATCTGTTGTAGGTCAGGCACAATACACACGACGGGTCGGAATAAAGCTTTTACACTCTCAGGAAGTTCTGTACGACCCGCATAACCTGGGTTCATCGTGATGAAGATGCCCATACGTGAGTCCATCGAGATCTCTGTTCCTTCAAACTATGGAGATTGGAGATAAACAATAAATTATTCAATCAATCAATGATCGATCGATCATCCCGAAAATTTCTACTAGCTCCCGAAACTTCGAAGAAAGTTCATTGACTACAATACATTATATTCGGAAACAAGCTTATTTATAATAAGTTCTTAGACGTTCTCTGGTCCCAACTCTACATGTAATTTAAATAATTAATATCATTAATCCTGTATGTAGGTGGAACTATCATTTTTGTCATTTTGTATCTATATGTAATTATGAACTGCTTTAACCGTTGAAGACTGCAGACTGGCAGTCGAAGCTCGTATAATAATAAGTATTTAAAAACCAAACCAGAGAACGTCTAAAAACATATTATGAATAATCCTGGTTTCGCTTCAAACATATTTAGAAGCTTATTTATACCTGAATTTTCTTCAAATTGTGTATCAAGGCATTCTGCAATGTCTTGATCTGAGTTGAAATGACTGACAATACGGACACATCAATACGATTGAATTCATCAAAACATCCCCACGCACCACATTGAGCAAGACCCGAGAAGATCTTGCCGATAGACTGAAACAAAATATCAAATAAAACATGAGATAAATCTAGAACACTGTCTCACAACTAGGATCTTAAGTTCCGAAAATAAAACTCCAAAACGCGGAAAACTTGGCGATAAGCGAATATTATTGGAAAGAGGGCTTCCATAAGTACGTTGAAATCACCAAATAAACAGCTCATGCACACATTTCTCCACTTCGTCGTACGTTTACAGAGCAGATTTTAGACTTTAACACTGATCTTTGTCTTTGATGTGAACATTTATTCTTCTAGTTTAAGGTTATATATTTAAGATTGATCCTGTCGTAAGTCTTCTACTAGCAACCCATCAACAATATTTCATTTTAGTGTTGTCGCAAGCAACTTATCACAATGGAAACGGCGAAGAATGCTCCATACAAAGTAAAAACTTTCAGAAAACTCATCGATGGTTGTGCCTTCAGGATATATGGTCACTGGGTTCAGCGTAAACGAGATGAGATTCAAAACAGAGGGGCGCTGTTTGAGAATCGTCCCAAAATGGAAGTTCTCAATGGTGCTAACACTTGCAGGACTAACGACCGTATGGACTCGGATTTGTTTATAGTTTCACCCATAGGTAACGAAAGTTGTGTTGACTGTGTATAGTTTTACCCCTAGGTGACAAGGGTTGTAGTGTTTATGTTATAGTTTTATAGTAAGTCACGAGAAATACCAACTCTGTAGCCCATTGGTCAGAGCGCTGCACCGGCAGACATATACATAATGGCGTAAGGCCTCCTGCATGGTGAATAAAATAGGCGTCTATTTAATCACAGAATAGATACCGGGCCAGAAGTGTCACTCCCATGTGTTTTGGCTGAAGGAAAACGTCCGAATTTTTTTTGCGTGCTATGACGCCATCCTGGTGTGCACCCGGCACTTTGTACCTATGTTTTCCTATGAAAAACTTCCGTGTGCACTCCAGGATGGCGTCATATGATGGCGTATTCTCACGTCAGCACTCGTAAAATTTCGGACAAAATATCGTCTGAGTGACACTTCTGGCACAGAATAGGAAGTTATACCAGAAGCGTAACTCTAGTCGTTTCCCTTATTGTTTGACGTCCACGAAAATTTTTAACTCGCTCACGTCAGGCCACGCCATCCTGGCTAGTACAGCCGGAAGTTTTTATCAGGATTTGGTAGGTACAAAGTGCCGGTTGTACTAGCCAGGATGGCGTGATTGATGACGAATCGCTTGTAAAAACGCGGACAAATATTTGCTCGAGTTACGCTTCTGGTATAACTTCCTATTCTGTGCTTCTGGTCCTGTATCTATTCTGTGATTTAATTTTGATTCAAACAGGCGCGTGCTTTTCATGAGCCGTACTTGATTAACCGCGCTTCTTCCCCTCGAATCCTGGGGCGAGTGACGTTTAGAACAACAAATATAATCTCATACGATCTTCGTAGTTCTAATAATTAACAGCTTTTGTAAAAGCTATGCAAACCAAGCATGACGCCTGGATTGAGAAAGGTTAGGGTTAATGAGAAGAATAGTGTTGCGAACTGAAATTAATTTTCAATTTATTTGAACGAAATTTGGAAAATAATGTGGTAACACCGCACAAAATAGTGCATGGGGATTCATGGGGATTTTACTTCATCCCTGGCGTTCTTGGTCAGTGCCATTTAAAATAAATAAAAGAAAACAATTTGGTTTTTTTTTAAATAAGCTGATCCCAATTCCCAAACCCTCCCCTAATACAAACCAGTAAATGGTTAATGAAAATTTTGAGAATTAAAAAAATTTAAAGGTGATCTACAGTCCGATCTGCGCATGTGCACAAATGAGCCCACAGTTTATGATACAAACAGTTTAACTATGTTTTGAGTTCTTGAAAAGCCTGATTGTGGTTTCCTGATCATTTATTATACTCTAGAAGCTTGAAAATATAAATAGTTGTCGAATAAAGCTCAGTATTTTGGACACAAAAATGTAAACAAAGGCTTTGTTTACATACGGACTGTAGATCACCTTTAAAGAGAAAAACAGTTCAGACAAAAAATGGTCGGCTAAACCTGACCTCGTTTCAAAAATACACCGACCCTGACCTCGTTGCACTTCGTGCGCTCGAAAAGCCTTTAAGGAATCGGCTACCGTACAATTGCGTCATTAGTGAGCTTAAGCAAGTGACGTTTTTGACAACACGAGCGGCATGAGTAACGTCAGAAGACTGGGTCAAGGGCTGTGATTGGTGAAAAACGTCAACTTTACTTCCGGTCGACGTCCGTGTTGTCAAAAATGTCACTTGCTTAAGCTCACTATTGTTAAGAAACCGTGGTTAATTAATATAGTATAGCTCAGTGGGTTAATTACACCCACGACAGCAATATATATGCGTGCACGCGCGTACATACAAAAAGTTAAAGCTGAGTCATAATGTAAACAGAAAATTTTAGATTTTTCGCATTTTTTTATATTTTAACAAAAAGCGTAGTTTTAATTAAATGAGAAAGGACGTCTGCCATTTTGAATATTATCAGGGGGTAAATGCCTCTCAAACGCGCACTGGCCAGGACCATGGCGTCAGCATTTTTGCCGTTACGCCAAAATCATTGGAAAATCATAGAAGTCGGGCTTCTGTGTACCTTATTCTGTGTTAAGATGGAACTTCGGCTCAGCTGGAAACAACTCCCACTCTTCAAGTGGTTTCCGGCTTCAACTAATGGAATGTTGAATTTAAAACGCGAACTGTAAGAACTTTTGACAAATTGTCTATGAGTACTTTGTTTGGCTTCAACAATATGCATGAGTACTTTGTTTGGCTTCAAAAGCGAGCTTTTTGCGAGGCTTTCTCACCAAATAGTTTTATAATTTTAAAGCACAGTAATGCACAGTCATGCCATGCATAAAAGGTCGTTGTGTAGCCTATTCCTGCTTTTGTGTTGCTTCAATCATGCATCCAATCCTCCCCAAAATAGACTATTCTCTCACACTTGATTTCAACAAGTCGCCGTTGGAAGTCATTCTAGACATTTCGTTGAGTCATCAACAACAACACCAAAATGTCAGTCAAATATTTCATGGTTTAAACCAGGTCCAAGATGATAGATACTATAAAAGACTATGTATCTCCTAAGAGATTTAGTATCTTAGCCTACGTATGTGTGATTATTCATTTCCACTGTGGAGTTATTTTGGTAGCAATTACAACAGCTTTGAGACTCGGCGAGACGGAAAAGTTCAGTTGTGCTGTTGACACAAACTTTGCAACGCACAAGACATACGCGGAAAAAACGTGTCTTTCAATCTACAACAACGCTTACAACTCTCCCGTGAGATTCTCTGCTTTCGTAGCGCTCAACTTTGGCTCTGCAGTTGTTGTAAGTGTTATTTATTCGCAATCGTATTGATGAAACAGAAAGATACACAACCGAAAGTGATGAATCTGAAACTGGTGCCAAGAAAGGGAACGATGAACCAAGTAGAAACACTTTATATGTTTTCTATTTCTATTCCATCCACCTTGTAGCTCGTTTGATGCTCGGTATACTATTTACCATCCTACAGCATTATGTATTATATCCGAGTGGTTTTCATTCACAATTCACTTGTGTTTACTCAAATGAAAAACAAGCAGATCCCAACATAACTGTAGAATGTAACTACTCAGCTGCTCAGGACAAACAGAACTTGAGAACATTTGTGTTTGCATGTAATGTGATTTTTGCCATAATTACACTGGCAGAAGTGATTTATCTGATAGGGTACCGATTTCCTTGTTTCAACACTCGATCTAATGTGGCTTGGTCATGTGATTCACAGTTTATTACTGAGTATTTTCTCCGAAAGAAGTACATTCCATCCAAGGATGATGAGTTTACTGGCGTATTAAGCAGTACCGACATTTACAAGGAAAAAGTTAAAAATGCTACTCTTACGACAGATATAAATTATGGACAAAACACAAGTTTGGATGACATGTTTATTAATGTTGTGATTCGTACTGGACAAGCTTCATTAACGTTTGCAAAAAATATGAAGATGCATAAAATCTATGATGCATATATGGACGTTCCCAAAGACTCGATGAAAGAGATTAAGGATTTATTTTATCCCAAAAATGATACTGGAAACAAACCTCCGCGAACTATTCTGGCACTCGGAAGACCTGGGATTGGCAAAACTGTTTTAACCAGAAAAATTATGCGTGATTGGGCCAATGGGATTGATGGCTTTTATCATGGTAAGATTGCTTTCTTCTTCAAATTTAGATGGTTTCATTTTGAAAAGTTACAAAATCTAACACTTAAGGAATTTCTTCAATTTGGAACAGAACTGAATGAACATCAATTTAAAAGTATTTTCGAAGAAATATGTAACAACCCAAAACATGCTATATTTATTTTTGATGGTTTGGATGAAATTGGTGGCAATCCTGAGAAATTTCAGGATTTTCTAGATCAATCAAGAATGTCTCCTGATGACCTTACTTTTCCCATGTCAGCAATGTTTCTTTTTATGAAAATCCTGTCTGGCAACATCTTATCAGGAGCAACAGTCTTGGTAACTTGCAGACCAACTGCCGTTGATGTTTACTCCAAGCTTAAATTTGATCGAAAAGTTGAGATCATCGGATTTACTTTGGATAAAATTGAACAATATGTTGAACAATTTTGTGCTAACTATGGAAGAAATGACCTGAAACCATTTATATGGAGTCATATCAAATCTTCATCAGAACTGAAGAAGATGTGCTACATTCCAGTAAATTGTTATATTGTGTGTGGTTCTTTGGCAAACTTCCTAAATGATCCAGCCAATGACAATGCTTTGCCAACTACACTGACTAAACTGTATCAGATAGCCATAGCTTACTTCTATGAAAATCATGATCAAAGTAAAAGCCAAGAATGTTATCAGAAACTTCAAGAGTTGGCTTTCTATGGTATGAGAAATGGCCGACTCGTTTTTGATGGCAAACTGGTGAATAAACAAATGAAACAATCAGGATTGTTGCACCGTTTACCTATCCCCTTCTCTCAAATTGAAACTCACGTTTGTTTCATTCATTTAACTGTACAAGAATTCCTCGCAGCAAAACATATAGTGGAAACAAACGAACCTGAGGATATAAAGAAATTTATTTCTTCCCATATCGCACATGGCACATGGCATTTGGTGCTTCAGTTTCTTGCTGGGTTACTGGGAGAAAAAATGGAGAAGTCTGAGAGAACAAATGAATATGATCATTACAGAAGCTGTGTTTTGGCTTTCGCAGAGCACTTATCTTGTAAAATTCAAGATGAACATGTTGTATGTTCCCTTGATCCCAATCAAATCTTATTGATGAAATGTTTGAGAGAAACAGCGAATGAAGATATTGCCAAAGAAACTGCTGCTAGTTCTGCTTTGAAAGATGTCACCAGCATACAATATTTCTATGGAAATTTGCTTTGTCCAAATGATTTTGCTGCAATGGTGTTTGTTTGCAAACACTTAAACTGCTTAACTGATTTAACTTTGAGTGCAATAAAGGATTTGGACTGTTATCTAGAGGTCACAAAGTTGCTACAAGAAAGATGCATAAAAACACTGTGCCTGTGTAATTCTTTTGCTGAATGGCTGCAATATGTATTTACTGCATTAATGAAAGCAGAATGTCACATGAATCATGAACACTCTGAACTTACTGAGTTGGATCTTACTGGAAATGATATTTCGGATTCTGGTGTATCACATCTAGCTAAGTTTCTTAGAAACGGTCATGGTCGTTATCTAAAGAAGTTAGACTTAACACGTAATAGTATCTGCCTTTCAAACCAGCAGAGTTGTAAACTCCTGGACAATGAGGTTTGTAATCAACTTACAGTGCTTGATCTTAGTAAGAATTTTATGACTAGTGTGAGTGATGTGCATAATCTATGTGAAACCCTAATAAAAAAAAAGTTTAAAGTTAGGAAGCTATATCTCGGGCATTGTCATTTAACCGGACAACATGCATCCTGGGTTGCAAATGTTCTCCGTTATGAACATTGTGAAATAAGTGACTTGTCACTTAGTGATAATAATATAAGAGATAAAGGTGTATCTAGTTTGTGCTCCGCTCTCAGGAAAAAGCAATGTAAACTTAATGTGTTGAACATTTCCAGATGTTTGTTAACAGATGAATGCATTCCTTACCTAAGTAAGGCTCTCGGTGATGAAATTTGTAGGCTCACCGATTTGTTACTTAGCGGTAATAAATTGAGCGATGAGGGTGTATGTCAGTTGTGTTATGTTCTCGTGAAAGAGCAGTGTAAGCTTACTGTGTTGGATCTTTCCAGTTGTTCGTTAACAATTGAATGTGTGACTTCCTTGTTTGAGGCTCTTGCAAGTGGTCATTGTCGGTTGACATGCTTGAAACTTAATGATAATAAAATAGGTGATAAAGGTGTAGCTATGTTGTGTTGTGCTCTCAGGACAGAGCAATGTCAGCTAACTTTGTTGAACATTTTTTATTGTTCCTTAACAGATGAATGTATGCCTTCTTTATGTGGGGCTCTCGGAGATGTACGTTGTAAGCTTTCCAAGTTGAATGTAGGTTACAATGCCTTCACAGATAAACATTTATCCTTACTCTCAAATTCTCTCAAACTGAAGCATTGTTGTCTTGAAGATTTGAAAATCCGTGGATGCACGGGCATCACCGATAAAGGTAAGAGGTTGCTTCGTGATGCAATGGAATCAGAGCATTGTAAAACTAGAGGTTTAAAAATTAACAGAAAGGTTTTTACAAAACCGCCCTGGTAGCAACTTTTTAGTAGTGGACATGTATGTCATGACGTAGCTAAATCATAAGTAGGCAGTTAGATAATTTCACAAGCTTAGTAAGTTCTGCTAGCTCATCATCAAGCTGATACTTATCCTTTGTTTATAGCCTGTAGTGAATTTGAGTCAACTGCACCAGTTCAATAGGTCACTAGTCCATCGCACGTTCCCACCATCGGAAGTCAAATTGAAAAGCAGTGAGTACTTACGAGACTACAGAAGTGCCCAACAAACATATCTGAACACTGCAGCCTTACAGGGAGCAGTTCAATGAGAACTTTACCTCTTTTAAGGTTTTTCATTTTCCGTTTTTCATGGTTTTCGCAAAACAAGCATCCTGTGATGGACTAGTGTCCTATCAGCCGGATTCGTACACTTCCTGGAAATTCCGGAAAACCCAGGAATTTCATTTTAGTCCTGGAACTTCAAGGTGACCGCTGAAAAACTGTCTGGAAAATCAAACTTGTAGTTGTGAGTACAGTTACAGTGCGTCTACAGTAAGTGGGGCCACTTAGAGAACACTAACCAATCACATTGCAGAACAAAAATAGAAAAAATCAACAAACGGCGCATTAGCCAATCACCAATAGGCCAAAAACAATTTGAACAAATAAACGAATGTCAAACGGTAAAAGTAAACACTGTAGTTAATGGCTTCCTGAATCTTTCTTTTGATTGGACGAGCTTTTTTAGTTTGATTAGATTTTTCTTTTTGTTCTGCAATGCGATTGGTTAGTGTTCTCTAAGTGGCCCCACTTCCTGTAGACGCACTGTAAGCCAGTTTTCCACTTTAACCGTACCGAAACGTACTGGTGAGCATGCGCAGATCCACGTACTTCCGGGGTATTCGCGTATCAAAATGAAAAGTTCGTCGCAAGTCAACTTTCTGGCGTACTACGGAAGTATTAACCAATCAACATTCAATAAATTTTGAAATTTAAAAATGTTTTTGATACGCTTCGGTACGGTACGCTTGACGTGGAAAACTGGCTTAATCAAACTGTTAAATGTTCCGTTTGTAAGATCTATTGATTATAAATACTCTCTTGCGCATAGCATATAGCATAGCATATCAATCGTTTCGACTTATTGCTAAAATTGCTGTTTTTCAGTTTTCTAAATAATAGCCCTGAAAAAACTCCGGGAATACGAGAAAATACCACTTGAAAGTCCTGAATTTTTAAAATTAGATAGGTGTACGAATCCTGCATCCAAATAGACGTATAATTGTATATGTATGATATATACGTATTGACTACTGTGTACATATTTGAAATTTGAATGAATATAATTTGTATAATCTTTAAATGTACAGATAAAAGTTAGTAATATGAACATTGCAAGATTGCAGAACAATATGAACAGTTCTATAAAACTAGCGTGTGAACTTAAATTGAAAGAAATCAGAACATATTGTAAAATTATTGTGCTATGTTCGTTGTATGTTTGCAGCATGGCAATAAAATAGGCTATGTAGGGTCATTTTACGAGCGAGACCTCGTGTAACAGTCAATTATGGCATTTGGGTCAATTTGGGTCTCCTTTCTACCCCCTTGGCTCTTCTAGAGCAGAGAAGCGCCTGCCACGCTGGCTAGTTAGGTGTACACTATACTAGTTATAGAAAGTTATAGACGTTCGCGACCTATTTAAGTCGCGGCTTATCATCTCTCGTGTAAATGGCCCTAATACAATATTTGTTTTGATTTGTGGAAAACGTAACATACGTTTATTATCGCATCATTGATAAATAATATAATAATGGCCGTTTTTAAAATATTGTTCAAAGACAAAGCACGATTAGCGCTAACCCTGGGTTAAAATTTAACCCATGCATTGCTGTGGTTTATGTATTTGTGTATGTCTGTTTATTTCAGAACTTTAGAAAATTAAACTTTTGATGATCCTGACAAGATTTCTGAAAAACTATTCCCCATGGGCGTACGGGCCTAATCTTG